GAAGTATGGTCGAACTCCTCTTTCCTGGGCTGCAGAAAATGGCCACGAGGGGGTCGTCAAGTTGCTTCATTGAGCTAATCTGGACAATTGAGACTGTGTCAGTGAAAGGTCCAGTTAGTGCATCGCCTGTCTGACATATCTGCTGTCGATATGAAAAGCTTATCAGATAACCAGGAGCGCGCGATATACACACAGGAAAGCAAAATAGATAATCCGGGGACTCAAGGGTCTCTTCAACTAAACATATCTTGATAATACTGCAAGACTTGTTGATGTGGCTCTGAAGAGAAGAGAAGCACGCCGAGAACCGGATACCCGATTGTTTATTATGTCCAGCCTCCGGGTTACTCACGCTCCAATCTGACCAAACCTGTCTGTCTATTGACAATGGAATCCATGGACATCTCTCTCTCATCTTGATAGAGTGCGAGAGCTGTGACAGCAATATGATGATATTGTGTGTGTGTGTAGGCAGGCTAGCTAACTACGCGAGGAGGTGACTAGATGGCTAGGTCCGAGATCACGTGATCTCCTTTCACAACTGTCTTCGGTGCTCTCTCTTTCGGAAGAGTTGCTGTCATCGGATAACGGGTTGACTGTCTTTCATTTGTCGGCGAGCTATTATACAATACAATGTAGTCAATGACAATATATGTTTCGAGATAGTCCTCCTGCTTCAGGTCTTTGTGGCACTGATTACTCGGCAGCGGATCGGAAAGACCAGTAGAGAAATCGAAGACTCGGGTGTAGGTAGCAACGGAGGGACAAAAGTGTGCCCAAGCGAGGGGCCACCGCTTATAATGACACCGTTAAGAGGGCGCCATTTTTGGCGTATTTCGGAGACCGCAGCGAGGCGTATAGGAAGTCAGTATAGGCCGGTCTCAAAAAAAAGAGTGCCTGGAGGTATACTGCACTGCGGACAAATGACGATCGGTGCTTGGCGGTGCGTGGACATAAGTGCACGGGGGAGTGGCGGAAGGCGTGGCAGATTGACGGCCAAAAAAGGCGTCGACTGCGGCCGTTTTGGGCAGCCTATCTACCGTCTTCTAGTTTAAACTAGTATATGTTCAGGCACACAATTTACACCGGGAGTAAGCAAAACGAAGCAAAATTATGCAGCAAAAGATCTGTATTGACTATCTAGAGCGTCAGCTACGTGATCAAGCCTACAGTGGCTGCCTCAACAATCTATAACTATTGCCTACAGTGGTATGACAAAAGTTTGCGTTATCCCTTGTTCCACGCTAGCCGTTCCGCTTTCCTAATTAGGCTATCTAGAACTCTATCTAGAACTTAATAAGCTGTATACCAACCATCCGCTTGGATGACTGCCTGTACGCGATGAGGCATGGTTTGATATAGATTTTGAAGTACTCTTTCGTTAATTGCATGCCAGGCTTCAATTGCTGCTTGTATAAGACTCTGATGAGTATCCTCAGTATTAAGAGTATGTTCTAACTCTGGATGCAGTTTATATATCTTAGCTTTCATTAAGGCCCATAGATTTTTAATAGGATTCAAATCGGGTGAGTATGGTGGCTAAATCATGACTTCTACCCCTATATCTTGAAGCAATTCGCGTATAATATAGGCTTGGTGTACGGATGCTCTGTTATGCATGAAGATATCTCCAGTCTGTAAGATTTCAGGTAGAAATGCTTTATAAACACCACGGATAACCCATGCAGTAATGCCTTGACGCGTAGATGTTGGATCTCCCTGTAAAGGTAGAAGATCTGTATGTCTGTTATATCCAAAAGCAGCCTAAAATATCTGCTTAACACCCTTTCCACAACGTACAGTATGAATATCACGCTCAATAATCTGTTGCTTTGGTGATCGAAAGGTATAGATTTGTTGAATTCCAGTATCATGCTCAACTGAATATTCGTCTGACCATATAACACGTAGAAAGTCTTCAGCAGTGTATTCTGCATATTGTTGAGCCCATCTTAATCTCTTCTCTGTGTTTTGAGGAGTGATTTCTGGCCGCTCACATTGTTTCCATTTCTGCATGTGTAGAGTACGGAATAGATGTTGAACTGTTCTAATTGAAGGACTGCTTTGTATAGCAGTAGAGAGTTCATGTATTTTTATATGCTGATCTTGCTTAACTGAGTCTAATATTTGCTGTTGTTCTTCAGGAGTAATCTTTTTGGGTTGTCCGGAGCGAGATGCAGAGTGTTGCTGCTTTCGAGTATTCTCACGCTTGATTGTAGTTTGTATAGTAGAATAAGGAATATGCGGATAGTGTTTATGAATTATAGTAAAGGTCCATCCAATTGCTTTCAACTCACAGAGTCTAGCACGGATCTCCGGGGTTAGTTCTTTGCGTGGTGGCATCTTTGTATGGCTTGCTTGCTTGCTTCAAGATTCAGGGCTCTGTACGTGTTGTTTTGGTGGGCAGAATAGCTGTATTCTAACCTAGTTAGGAAGGCGGAAGTAAAAGCAACTAGCGTAGAATGTGGGGCAACGCAAACTTTTGTCATACCACTGTAACTATTCTGCCGGCAGTAAATCCTGAAAACATTATTGCCCTATGGCCCCTACCGAGTACTAGGTTCCTTAAATCGCCAGCAGCGCCACAAATAACTACTATTTAGCAGATTCATTCAATAGTACAGTACTACACTACTATTGTCACATATTTTTATCACACCCAACATCCAACTCTCAATTTACAACTCATCCCCCTTCCCAACCCCCACACCAAACGTCCCCTTTGACTCCATCGCACTCTTGATTTCCCCACGGTCTTTACGTCCCCAGCAATACCTTATACTCAAAACTCTTCCCTGGCGCGGACATCCTCCAGCCCTGTAACTCGTACGGAAATTCGCTTGGGCCCATGCAATGTGCTCATGATAGAGCCGTTCGGATTTGGCTGGCGAGCGGCCTTCTGGATCACGTGATGTTGTTTTTCTTGCCTTGTTTGTTTCGCCTCGCGCGCTCGCGCTCGCTTATCTGTGGTGTTCTCCCACCGTTCTCTTACCCTCCTGTCTTTCTCTCCACGTGTTAGATATTTTAGTCAAGTAGCGCCAAATGCAACAAATTCGACCGGCTATCACACACTGCTTGGCCCACCTTGGCCCTCTTGGTGGCGGATACGAGTCGGATTAACTGTTGTCCCGGCCCGGTCCCGAATTGCGTCGCCCGCTTCGCCTCAAGAGTCTGCACCTCGTTCCTTTCGACTTCAAAATGAGGAGCGCGCCTCTCCGCAGCATCTTCAGAGACAGGCTGAAGCCGGAGTCCACCGGTTTATAGGAGACATCGACAGCCAGGAGGAAGACGCCAGCGAGCAACATCAACACCGACACCGAACACTTGGAGGCGTCGTCACGATTTCGATTCATATTATTCCTTATGCATCCAACTTTATCACAGTCCCTGTCATACCCTTCCTCTTCTACCCACTAGCACGGCATCACGACAAATCCTCTTCCTTCCGTCTTCTCCCGAGACATGGCTCCGTTACTGGGCCATGATACACGCTCACCTTCCCGACGAAATGGCCCCGAGATGACACCCCCAAAGAACATTCTCTATATCGACGCGTACGACTCTTTCTCCTACAATGTTGTCGCCATGCTCGAGGAGGTGCTGGATGTCCAAGTTACAATCATGCATATTGACTCAACATGGCCGGATGGGAATGCTGCCGAGTTTCTCAAACACTTCGAAGCCGTTGTTCTTGGGCCGGGCCCTGGTGATCCACATATACCGGACGATGTGGGAATTATGGAGGATATCTGGAACCTGAGCACTGCAGACATGCTTCCAGTTCTCGGCATATGTCTCGGTTTTCAGAGCTTATGCCTTCGTCACGGAATTCCTATTCACCGGCTACCGTATCCGCTCCATGGCCAGGTTCGCCGCGTTCAAACTACCGGTGAAGACATATTCGATCGCGTACCCAATCTGGAGGTCACTCTATACCACTCCCTATATGCCCAGCTGGAGACAGTACAGAATGACCACGAGGAGGCACGATCAGACAAGTCTGCAACACAAGATCTTGATATTCTGGCATGGCTGCCCTTAGAGGAACAGGTCTCCACTAGCTTGGTTCAGCCGATACAACTTCCAATGGCTGTGCGCCATAAGAGCAGACCCTTCTGGGGTGTTCAATTTCATCCAGAGTCTTGCAAGTCGGACAAGGAAGCATGCAGACAGATACTGAGGAAATGGTGGAAGATGTCTCTCCACTACAACAAAACTAGTGGACGAGGCACTCCCCTGAAATTGATACGCGACTGCCTCCACGAATCGGACGACATAGCTTCCTTACCGAACATCGTACATACCATGTTGACCTGGTGCACATCTATTTCAAGATCTTCTTTTTTTCGACACTTCTACACTAAACCGGTAGATTCGGCCTTGATCTGTGAGACCCTTAACAGTCCCGGTTCCCCGACAGTGATGTTTAAAACCAATGGCCGACACAGCATCATATCTGTACCTAGTCCTGGCAGCTGGAGGTTAGAATTCTTCACGCAGACCGAGAGGCTTTTTATGGAAAACCTTAATTGCGAGAATGCCCTAGAAGGGCAGTCTGTGATCAATACATCCTTGTCAACCAGCCAGTTCTGGGATGTCCTCCGATACTTGATAGACATGAAAAAGGTCGAATCAGGCAGTAAGGATGTCCCGTTTTGGGCTGGGTTCCTCGGGTACTTCTCATATGAAATGGGGCTCGCTTGCCTTCCTCACGCAAAAGGACATGGCCACAACTCCTCGGTAGAGGTTTCAGAAGATCCGGTGGATGCGAGTCTACTATGGACTGAACGGAGTGTGATTCTAGACCATGAGTCTGGCCTTGTTACCGTACAATCTACACGGGAGGATGACAATCAACCGGCGGGGTGGATCGAGGAAACAGTGCGACTCCTGCAAGATTTATCGTCTCATCTTGTGGTGGACATTATCGATAGTATCACAACTGACACAGTGGCCCTGGATTCCATACTCAGTCGATCCACAGCACAATTTCCGAATGAACAAGAATACAAAAAACAGTTTGACGCCTGTATCGCCGAATTGCACGCCGGTGAATCATACGAACTGTGCCTT